TAAAACATGTTTCATAGGCTTCGTTCTAGGTAAGTGAGGGTTACAGCAGAAATAACCTCAGAATCACAGTGGCTTAAGTCCACAGACATTTACTTTATAATACATGGCTGGGTAACTTGTGGTTGATTGTCTTCTATCTTGAATGCTGTTGTTCCTCTTGTGGCGCTTGTGAGGGGAGAAGGAAAACAAAAGGTGAGGTAGGGAGTGGCAATCTAATGTTTGCCTGGCTCTGTCACATACAGCATGCACTCTTGGTCTGACTGGCTGGAGTTAATGGCATGGCCTCACCTAATTTCAACAGTAGGAAGAAGGCTGAGCGGTTTTGTGGATTTGCACGACTGACAGCTACATCTGGGGAAACTAATACTTGACTTCCTGACACTTTCAGCCACTAAATCACATGAGCACACGGTGAAATATCTAGTGCAGCACCAATACTCAATAGATAGCAGACCAGTTCTTATAACTATCCAGTTGTTTCTGTTATTTTTATAGCATACTGTTCACCATTAATTTGCTTAGGAAATTTCTTCTTATTCCCCTTAAAAATGCAGAGTAGACTAAAGGGTTCTCTCACGAACTTATAAATTCCTACACTCATACAGATGAATATATACCTCTATACATGCATGCACGCACATATGCAACACATGTTGGTGTGTGTGTGTGTGTGTGTGTGTGTGTGTGTGTGTGTGTGTGTGTGTAGGCCTCAGGTGGTGTTCTTTAGGTGCTGTATACTTTTTTCTTGAGACAGGCTTTCTCATTGGTATGAAACTTGTCAAGTAGAGTAGGCTGGGTGACCAGCAACTGTGGGATTCTGCCTATCTCCTTCACCCTAGCCCTGGGATTCTAAACACATGCGTCCATGCCTAGCTTTACATGAGTTCTTGGATTGAACTCAGGCCCTCATGCTTGTACAGCAAGCATTTTGCCAAATGCGCCACCTTCTCAGTCCGGCACAAATTCTTAAGAAGTGGAGATGACTTAAAGACGCTTAGGACTAGTCAGTGACCCTGCTCTTCAAGGGTTTTGGTTGAGCGAAGTCATCTGATGCTTCTGTAAGGGGATTACTTGGTGGCCTAATAGACAGGGCGTTAGCATAGGCCTTGCAAGTCGGCTCACTGTCTTGGTTTTCAATTTAAGAGCAAGCGACTTTAAGTTGGCATTCATTTGGGTCAATGTAGAAGCAGTCAATATGTATTATATGTCTTTGATGCTGGTCTCTGGATCAATTGCAATTAGTTTGCAGCAGATTGCATTAACATATCTGAAATTAATACGGCCAGTGGTCTAATGAAAAGGAATTGACCATGACCACACGGTGGCTGTTTTTAGTTTCTCTCAAATGTGCTTTTCAAACTGTACTTTTTTCTTCTTTGGTTAATGGCTTTAAATTGGTATGTCAGCATAGGCCTAATCTATTGATTCTTCTCATTTGCCTTCTAAAAGCAGTCCCTGATAATGACTGTAGCATTTAATGTTTTCTTTCATTAGATGGCTTCTACTAAATACCTTAAATTCATGTTTTTCTTGGGATCTTGTGTGGAATGCAACAGACTATTAAGCTTTTGAGTGTGTTCATTTATCAAATTTGTGTTTTCAAGTTACTAGTGTTTCATTAAGACTTAGGGAGTCAGAAGTTAAGAAGTACTAAAAAGTAGATGGTATGAGCTTTGTTCTGCAGTTGATTTTTATCCAAGTATTATTAATTTTTAAAGAAAAGTTATAATCAGTTTTAATAGTCACATTGTAAGCAATATATATGAATAATATGTGTACATAATACACACACACACATTAGGAGGAGAGGAGGAGCTATCTTTAGGCTTCATCATGTTAGAGCCTGAATACTTGACAGTTGTGCATGAATTATGTTTGTTTCAAGTCCTAAGGGCTGACTTTTACTTTTCTCGTTTAGAGGAAGTCAGTTTCTGTAAGTGGAGCATTCTTGGTATTGGAAACCAAAGGCCAAGGTTTATACCCTTGGCCATTACTTATTTTTTCCTTCTGCCAAGTAAGATATTCTCCCAAGGATGCCAGAGAGTTTAGAACGCACTGCCTTTGAATAGAAGCTCATCTGTCTGTAAGGGTGTAGCCTTTTGACATTGAGGTCCGACACCATGTTGCACAAATGTGATGGACCATACTCATAGCCATTCTGGGATACGTGTGGTCAGCAAGTCTCAGGTAGGATGTATTTGTGAACCTCAGTGGGTCCTGTGTTTTAAAGAGCTCATGAGTGCATCCCCATGTGGAGGCTGCAGGAATGACACTTTGACACTTCAGAGATTCTGAAAGTGAATGGAGTGTCCATGCATAGCCCTTAGGCCTCAGCCTTTGGTCATTCTGGACACTCAGCCTTGGACACTCCTGGAGACAAAGGTAGAAGCCTGTAGGGGTCAGATATCAGGTTATTTTTCACACTCTGCCAGCTTTGAAATCCAGCTATGAGCAAACATTTAATTTGCATTAATGTATAATCATCTCTTGTGAGTTCCTTTACATCATGATTCATGGGTACACATATAACTAGATATGTTTCTCTTTCCATTGAAAATGAGATTTATAGTTTTGGTAGGATATGCTGTTGATATTACTGGATAAAAGAGAAAAGTAATTTACTTGGGTGACATCTTGTTCTTTTCAGTCTTTTGTTATAAATTAAAAGGTAACTGATAGTGCATTTTTGAAGAAAACCCCACTTCTACTGGAATCTTAAGCAAGATTACATATTTAACTGCAGCTGAACAGTAATCTAATAATGAGGACTTTTTCAATTAACTATACTCGGTGCTAGAACATGAGTGAGATCTCATCATTTAAAATTCCTATCTAGGCACCATTAAAAACTAAAATAAAGAAATAATTTGGAAGCCAGGAAGACTGCAGAGCCTCAAGAGCATGTACTACTCTGATGACCTGAGTTCAGTTCCCAGCACCACATTGGGTGCTCACAAACACCTGGAACTTCAGTTCCAGCACATCTGACACCCTTTGCCTCCCACAGGCACCAGCACACATTTGGAGCACAGACATTCACATAAGCACAGCTACATACACATTTAGAAAAATCTTTAAAAAGAAAAAGAAGTGAATTAATCTGCAGCTTTATGACCTCATAGACTTAAAAACATTTCTTTTAAGGTTTTTCCTGAATATGATTAGTGGGTTTATATTGGTTGTTAAGATAATGATATGGGTGTTTCCTATTTGGGCCAGATGAGTGAGGGGAGGCATAGCTGTATGTGTGGACTTTCTAATGTTTTTCCAAAATAACTTCTGATTCTGAAAGTACCTACTATCTCACAGAAAGCTACAGTATAATGAAGTAAAATGTGACACAATTCTAGAACAGTACTAAACCCAGAAATTTGTATGAATGTCTTTCTTTATTGAGCTATTGAATTTTGCTTTTTACCTTTTTTTTTTGTTTTTTAAACTATGACAGTTAAGTTTTATTTACTTTTTGAGATTGTAATATGTTACATTATTTCTCTCTTCCCTTTCTTCCCTACAAACCCTCCCACATACTCTCCTTGCTTTCCTTCTACACATGGCTACTTCTTCCATTAATTGTTTATATATATATATGGATATATATTCCTAAATCCAATCTGCTTACTTTGTATAATATTACCAGGGTAATGATCAGGGTTGATCATTTGGTATTAGATGCCCGGTTGGTGTTCTTCTCTGGGGAAGACTGTTTCTCTAGAACTCAGCATTCCTTAATTGCTAGTAGTTCTTTGTGTAGGCCTCTTGGGCTTTCTCCTGCCCACATTACCATGTCTGTTGTTATCCCTCCTCAGCTCTTATTTAGAAGGCTATGTTGGTGAGACTTTATGGGTGGAGCTTCTGACATTGCCGGGAGACACAATATCTTAGCACATTTCCGGGATCCTCTGGTTCTTGCTGTCTTACTGGCCCTCTTCTGCAATGATCCCTAAACCTTAGGTGAGGGAGTTATTTTATAAAGGTTTCCATTAGGACTGTGCTTCACAACTCATTTTCATTGGCTGGTTTTCTATAATGGTCCCTGTCTGTTGCAAAAAGAAGTTTCCTTGATGAGGGGTGGACACTCCTCCTCTCTGGGTATAAGGACAAACATTTAGAATATAGTTAGGAATTATGCTGATTTAGTAAAGTTTGGTTGGAGGTTCTCCCCCAAGAGCCACGATTTCACTAGCCCTGGATAGTTGGTGAGATTTCTAGTAATTTTTCCCTAAGGAATCTTGATCTTCCTCTTGTTGAGTGAGTTTTAAGTCTGATCAGAGGACGGTTGGTCACTGCCACAGCATGAGTGCCACCTTTGCACCCTTAGCCTTATCGTGACATGTTGGTTGTTGTGGTTCATTGGTATTGTAGCCGGGGAAGTAGACTGTTGTTTGCTTCCTTCCTTTGGAACATTGCATGGTTCTTGTGGTACCATGAAAGCTAGTTGGGGGGGGAGCATTCAGGTCAGTTCCAGCTCAGGGACCCCAGGTCCTGGTATCTGAAGGACATGGTGTTTTCAGCAGTAGGGACTTGTTATTCACCACTGGTGCCAACTGAGGGCAATAACAGTAGCCCTTGGTTAACTCTGATCAGCAACTCAAAAGGCCTTCTGTGGTGATGTGAGAATGTGAGATCATGACCCAATGAGTTTAATCACGGTTACATAGAGGAATGTGGTCAATTTACCAGTGACTATTACCTACAGAAATGTTTTTCTGTTCCGAAACAACTGTTAAATGTCCAGTCCTCAGGGCTAGATGCGGCCTGATAAACCCCTCACTCACATGACGGAAAGCTGATTCACCCCGTCTTGTGCCAGTAATCATAGCTAGGCTTTTACATCTGCATTTATTTATGTGTGTGTGTGTCTTTAACTTTTTTTTTTTTTTGACATGGAGGATTTACTTAGCTATGTCTTTAAGCTGATGTTGCTCTTGCTGGTTGATAGTACCTGTAAGGCAAGTGCCCTTTTTCCTGTGGTGAACTGTCCTCTCCTCTCTCCCTAGGCTGGTCACTTAACCCCCAGAAGATGGCTGAACCTGCAGGAATACCAGAGCAAGAAGCTCATGTCAGAGCACGGGGTGAGAGTTCAGAGGTTCTTTGTCGCCAACACCGCGAAGGAGGCTCTGGAGGCAGCGAAGAGACTGAGTAAGTTGTATCCTGAGGCGAGCGTTGGCGCATCAGTGAAGACAGGGTTTCCCGCTTCTGTTCCCTTGGCTGGGTTATATATACTACCTGGGTGGGAACTTTGAATTGCAAAAGCAAAAGAATGCTTGTACAGGAAAACTTGATTCAGCAGTACCCAGGGATGGGCGTCATCTTGTGGGAGTGTCAGTTTCCTGGGCACCCACTTCTATCAACTGCACCTCAGTGGTGCGAAGAAACAGGGCTAGGAGACTGGGCATGAGAGTGACATCCTTCCGGAAACCTTTTAAAAGCCAGGGTGGGTGGTTGGCAGAGAGCAAGGGGAAGGCAGGCAGCGATTTTAGTTTTCTTACATAGCCCACGTTGGCTTTAACTTGTGATCCTCCTGCTTTGAACTAAGTTGCTGATGTCACAGATGTGTATTGGTGAGCCTAGCCAAGATCATGGTTTTAAAGTCCAACTATTTTGCCCTCCCATTACCAGCTCTAATTGCATATGAGATCCTTCACCTTTCTGTGCCTCTGGCTCCTTAGCTGTAGAGCAAAGCTGTGTTTCCCTCCCATCACTGTTGACTTCAGGACCTTATTTACTGTAGTGATGAAAGGCCTCATCTATTATAGTGATGAAAGGTATGTCTAGCAATGGATGGTGGAAAATCAGGCCTTCTATCTTTCTAGTGACGATTGTGTGTGGTGGCATAAAGATTCTCTTTTTGTTATTTGGATTAAAGTATCCAGTATAAATAAAACGGGAGCCACATAGTATATTTAAATTTAAAAAGAAAAAAGTAATAGGTGAAAAATTAATTTTGATAATGCATTGTATTTAATATATACAGCTAGCTGCATTTTATCATGAGTCTAATTTAATGAATTAATAGTAGGGTTCCTTCCTTCCTTCCTTCCTTCCTTCCTTCCTTCCTTCCTTCCTTC